ATGGAAACCTAACTCAAGAAGGGTTGGTCTGGATGATCAATATTTCTGGTTGGGAGACGTTCAGAATAGATAGAAAATGAAAAAAAATGGAGGTATGCTTTTTTATTGGTTAAAGAGAGCACTGTAGCTTAAAAAAGGGTTTGTAAAGATAGGTCTATAATATCTGGGCCAATCAGTCTAACTTGATTGAGGAAACTTCAAGAAGCATTGAATCCTATTCCAACTGATAGTCTCAGAAAAACGTGGGTGAATTCAGCGTCTGTAATGCACTGCCTGGGAATGTGGTGGAAGCAGGTTTAATTCAGGCATTCAGCAAGGCATTACATGATTATTCAAACAGATACATCATTGCAGGGTCACAGGGGAAAACCTAAGAGATTGATACAAAGCCAAAATGGTCAGAGAACTGGTATAGACCTGATGGGCTGACTGGCCTCCTTCACAACAATTCTGTGATTCCTGTGCCTCTTAGCTGGGGTGAAAGTTTTTATCTGGATTATTGCCTTTGTGCTGCAGTTCTTTCTATGAGTTCTAAAGACTGCTTTCTTTAAGTACTTGCAACTGCTAACTGCCTTAGCATTTTTAGTGGTAAACGCCCTTCTTTTCTAAAAGCCTTTTATGCTGGGTTCAATGATTTTTTTTTGCTGTTGTTATGTTTAGGTATTTATGTGATGATTCCACAGCTGATCACCATGTCGCATGTTGCAGTACCAATTTCTAGCAGTCTGCGGGTGGGATGGAGTGCTCCCAGCCATCCTTCTTTATCTACTTTCCATTCCTCCTCCTCACCCGCTTCTTTCTGTTCTTCAATCTCGTTTGTCACTCCTATATCCTGTGAATGAATGAATATTTTTTTTAAAAAATTATTACTGAGGACCTGTTCATTTCACAATGACAGTGGATAAGCCACTAGTAATTCTAAACAAGAGAAAGCAGTTATCTTAGCAACAAGATGTTTATTGCCCAATGGTAGGATAGTAGGAACTGCAGATGCTGGAGAATCTGAGATAACAAGGTGTAGAGCTGGATGAACACAGCAGGCCAAGCAGCATCATAGGAGCAGGAAGTCTGACGTTTCGGGCCTAGACCCTTCTTCAGAAATGGGGGAGGGGAAGGGGATTCTGAAATAAATAGGGAGAGAGGGGGAGGCGGATAGAAGACGGATAAAGGAGAAGATAGGTGGAGAGGAAACAGACAGGTCAAAGAGGCGGGGATGGAGCCAGTAAAGGTGAGTGTAGTTGGTGAGGTAGGGAGGAGATAGGTCAGTCCAGGGAGGACAGAGAGGTCAAGGGGGCGAGATGAGGTTAGTAGGTAGGAAATGGGGGTGCGGCTTGAGGTGGGAGGAGGGGATAGGTGGGAGGAAGAACAGGTTAGGGAGGTGGGGACGAGCTGGGCTGGTTTTGGGATGCAGTAGGGGGAGGGGAGATTTTGAAGCTTGTGAAATCCACGTTGATGCCATTGGGCTGCAGGGTTCCCAAGCGGAATATGAGTTGCTGTTCCTGCAACCTTCGGGTGGCATCGTTGTGGCACTGCAGGAGGCCCAGGATGGACATGTCGTCTGAGGAATGGGAGGGGGAGTTGAAATGGTTCACGACTGGGAGGAGCAGTTGTTTATTGCGAACCAAGCGTAGGTGTTCTGCAAAGCGGTCCCCAAGCCTCCGCTTGGTTTCCCCGATGTAGAGGAGGCCACAACGGGTACAGCGGATGCAGTATACCACATTAGCAGATGTGTAGGTGAACGTCTGCTTGATGTGGAAAGTCGTCTTGGGACCTGGGATGGGGGTGTGGGGGCAGGTGTAGCACTTCCTGCGATTGCAGGGAAAAGTGCCGGGTGTGTGGAGCGGACAAGGGAGTCACGGAGAGAGTGGTCCCTCCGGAAAGCAGATAAGGGTGGGGAGGGAAAAATGTCTTTGGTGGTGGGGTCGGATTGCAGATGGTGGAAGTGTCGGAGGATGATGCGTTGGATCCGGAGGTTGGTGGGGTGGTACGTGAGGACGAGGGGGATTCTTTTTTGGTTGTTATTGCGGGCTTGGGGTGTGAGGGATGAGTTGCGGGAAATGCGGAAGACACGGTGGAGGGCGTTCTCGACCACTGAGGGGGGGAAGTTGCGATCCTTGAAAAACGAGGACATCTGAGATGTACAGGAGTGGAATGCCTCATCCTGGGAGCAGATGCGGTGAAGGCGAAGGAATTGGGAATAGGGGATGGCCTTTTTGCAGGAAGATGGGTGGGAGGAGGTGTATTCTAGGTAGCTGTGGAAGTCGGTGGGCTTGAAATAGATATCGGTTTCTAGGTGCTTGCCCAAGATGGAGACAGAGAGGTCCAGGAAGGTGAGAGAGGTGTTAGAGATGGTCCAGGTGAACTTAAGGTTGGGGTGGAAGGTGTTGGTGAAGTGGATGAACTGTTCGAGCTCCTCGTGGGAGCACAAGGCGGCGCCAATACGGTCATCAATGTAACGGAGGAAGAGGTGGAGTTTAGGGCCAGTGTAGGTATGGAAGAGGGATTGTTCCATGTAACCTACAAAGGGGCAGGCATAGCTTGGGCCCATGCGGGTACCCATGGCCACCCCCTTTGTCTGTAGGAAGTGGGAGGAATTGAAAGAGAAGTTGTTGAGGGTGAGGACAAGTTCGGCTAAGCGGATGAGGGTGTCAGTGGAGGGGGTCTGGTCGGGCCTGCGGGACAGGAAGAAGCGGAGGGCCTTTAGGCCATCTGTATGGGGAATGCAGGTGTATAGGGACTGGACGTCCATGGTAAAGATGAGGTGTTGGGGACCGGGGAATTGGAAGTTTTGGAGGAGGTGGAGGGCGTGGGTGGTGTCACAGACGTAGGTAGGGAGTTCCTGGACCAAGGGGGAGAAAATGGAGTTGAGTCAATATTGTCGAGTCAATGTTGGAGGCAATAAGTATAAGATATTTTGATTTGTTTGACATAATTCCTGAGCAGAGCCAGAGCCAGAGCCAGAGATGTCATGTCTGATTATTTGGACCTGAAGCTGGCTTTCTTAATTCTCCACCCAAGTCTGTGTGATGTAATGTAATAAATCCTCTGATGTTAACCCCTTCAACAGCAATGACCTTATACAATATAGTGGTGTTGTCATATTCCAAAAGAAATCAGTAAGCCTTTGTATGGGATGAAAACAAAATCAGCCTTGGATATGTTCGGCTCCACGTGCATATAATACAAAACAACATGAAACCGTCAACCTTAACATCACTTAATCCGTTCTGGACCTGTTCTGTGTTGTGAAAGAGTGCAGTAACTACATAATACCAATTAATTTGCTGTGCTTGGTCAGTAATCTGGTCTGCCTTTTGAATGCCATTTTTGATCACATTTAATATTTCCTCTATAATATAGCCCATCATGTTTTCTTTCAAGTGGATTGTCCTGCATATTTAATGCTGTGTTTTTAGTTAATGATTTTCCTGTGCAGAGAATTACAATTTGATAATGAAACCATCCCCAACTATTTACTTTAACTGTACTATCTTATTCGAAGTTTGGGTGATATAGAATGGATTTCCAATAAGTAAGGGAAAATTAATGGCATGGGAGAAAGGTTTGTGGCTGAGTAGTCACAGTGCTTCATTCGGAATGTTGCCATTTAGTTATGATTGTATTTCCATTCTGAAAAAGGTAGAACATAATGGGAAGTGATACATTTGAAATGTTTTGCATAATACAAATTTCAAAATTTTGCTAATTTTCATGGAGAAATACAATACTAAATTGTCATCATATAATTGGGAGTGTTCCTTTTCAAGCAGATGATTTGCACCGTATTAATTATCAAGTGTATAATAAAAAGTATATATCTGTATAACTATTAAAATTTAGGGCATAGAGAGGAATATCAAGAACACAATAATATGAAGATGACCAATTCTGTATAAAATCAAACAAAGAACTGCGGATGCTGAAAATGAGAAATATAAAACAGAAATTGCTGGGAAAACTTAGCGGGTCTGGCAGCGTCTGTGGAGAGAATGTTTCAAGTCTAGTGACCCTCTTCAGATCTCTTATGAAGAAGGGTCATTGGGCGCGAAAAGTTAAGTCTGCTTTCCCAACAATTCTTGCCTTTGTTGTTGACACAGATCCTGGTGTCAGTAATCTATTTCTCAGTTCTAATTTCAAAATTATACCTGGGATATTAGAACATTGAAACTAGGAAAGGGAAGCCTTAAAATACCTCCGTGAGAATAGGTATGATGCGCAGATGAAAGTAGTTCCAGATGTTGGATGAAGGCCTGTTTTGCATCTATAAATAGATGTGTAAATTTGTTGCATATCCCTCCATGTCCTTAAGATGGCAGTGAGCTACCTTTGAAAACCCTTGCAATCATTGTCATATCAGTAGAGCCAGAGTGTTTGGAAGGGTGTTTCAGGATTGAAAAGCAACAACAATGAAAGCAAAATAATTCCAAATTAGCATAGTGTGCACTCGGATAGAAACTTGCTGCTGGTAGGATGCTGACACATGGAATACCATGTGCTTCTAGATCATGGGTTTGGTAAGGCTCCTTAGTATTGCACTCTATCAAATGTCATCCTGATGTCAAGGTTAATCATTCTGGTCTGGAGTTTGCTGCTTTATTTCGATCTTGGCCAAATCCGTAATGATGCCTAGAGCAAAATGGCCTTTAAGGAATGGACACAAGTGAGACATGATCGCAATGCCACCGATAACTTCCAACATTTTGCTGAAGATTGAGAGTAGCCGGGGAGCTAATTGGCCAGAATGGAGTTGTACTGCTTTTTCTATTCAAGGCTGAAGTGAACAATTTTTCATATCTGGTAGATGCTATTTTTGCAGTTGTCCTGGAAACAGCTTGGCTTGTCTGGAGCCAAAATGAGACTGACTATGTCTTTGTTCAGGTTATAGTAAAGATAACTAACTTTGTGTGACTGAGTTACTTCTAAAAGTTTCTTCTCAATAACCTTAGAGCATACCCATTCCATTGCATAAACAATCTCATCTTAATGCATCTTCATTTCAGTTAAAGAATTTTGCAAAGCAGTTTTTGCATACGAAGCAAACAATTCTGATGAACTTAGCTTTAAGGAAGGAGATCACATCCTGCTGACGAGCAAGGTAAGCTTTCCCTTGGTTGGAAAAATATCAGTTTCTAATTTAATAAATTCTATCACTTGAGATATCTCATTAATGTCTTTCCCTTAACTTTTATGACCATATACATTTGCCTTGATTTTGGTAAAGTTGCAATCCCAAGAGAAATCACCAACTTGGAAAAAGAAAATTGAGCCTCCAGCAGAACTTAAATAAGATCACATAAAACTTGAAATTTTGCTCAGACTTTTACTGTAATGCACAAGCAAAAAGCATCATTGACTGATTAAATACTGTTTTAAAGTCTATCGTATGCTACACCACAACGACCCCCTTTTTAAACACAAGAAGAGACTGAAAAATCTCCCGAATTGTAGTTCACTCTGCCCTTTAAGTAAACAGTCCATTCTTTCTGAGCTAGTCCAAAATGGTTCTTAGCTCCTATTGCCTTTTCCTTGAACTGCTTTCACTTTGGATTATCCTGAGGATCTCTTTCCTCCCGCCCAGCCAAAATTGTGAGTCTTCAACTTTACCTAAGCCTTCACAATCTTGGTAACTTCAAACAGAGCATGAGCTCCTGCCTACTTTGCGTTGGGAACAACAGCAACTTACCTCTAACCTGCTGCCCTCACTCTTGTGACTTCATTTTTGCCATTGACCCTGCCTGAGCTTTAGTGATGCTTAGAAAAATCTGCAACATGATCCAACAAAATTCCTCTCTATATATAGAAATATTAATTAGACTATAAGACCATGAGAAATATAGGAACAGGAGTAGGCCATTGAGCTCCCCCCCAAGCCGGCACCACCATTCAGTCAGGTCATGGCTGATTGCTAGACGACAAGGTGCAGGGCTGGATGAACACAGCAGGCCAAGCAGCATCATAGGAGCAGAGAGGCTGACGTTTCGGGCCTAGACCCTTCATGTGTTGTTGAGTGTGAGGACGAGTTCGGCTAAGCGGATGAGGGTATCAGTGGAGGGGGACTGGTCGGGCCTGCGGGACAGGAAGAAGCGGAGGGCCTTGAGGCCATCTGCATGGGGAATGCAGGTGTAGAGGGACTGGACATCCATGGTAAAGATGAGGTGTTGGGGACCGGGGAATTGGAAGTTCTGGAGGAGGTGGAGGGCGTGGGTGGTGTCACGGACATAGGTAGGGAGTTCCTGGACCAAGGGGGAGAAAATGGAGTC